TACTACTACTACTACTGCTGCTATTATTATTACTAGTCGTATTATTATTAGTATTATTCTTACTATTACTATTAGTATTATGGTTCTTCTTCCTCCTATTAGTCTTATGTTTCTTCTTCCTCCTCCTGCTCCTCCTCTTCCTCCTCCTCCTCCTCCTCCTCCTCCTCCTCCCCCTGCTCCTCCTCCTGCTCCTCCTCCTCCTGCTCCTCCTCCTCCTTCTCCTTCTCCTCCTAATCCTCCCCCCCTCCCCATAATCCGCCTCCGTCCTCCAGCTGCTGCCTCCTCATGTTGTTGCAACTGCTGCTGCTCCTCCTCCCCCTCTTCTGCTCCTCCTCCTCCTCCTCCTCCTCCTCCTCCTCATCATCATCATCATCATCATCATCATCATCATCCTCGTCATCACCCGCATCATCGTCACCACCATCCGCATCAGCATTATCATTATCATGATCATGACCAGCATCAGCATCAATATCATGGTAATGCTAATCGGCATCAGCATCATCACCAGCACCATCACCATCATCACCACTGCATCATCGTCAGCAACATCATCATCATCATCATCTGCATCACCAACATCATCAGCAGCAGCATCATCACCATCCTCATCATCATCATCATCATCATCATCATCATCATCATCATCATCATCATCATCATCATTATCATCATCATCAGCACCATCACCATCATCATCACCATCATCCTGTTTTTTCCAATGGCTCTCTCACCACTCCCTCGAACGGGGCTCGGCGGGGCTGGCGGTAAACATAATCTAAGATCACTGCATCATGATCGTCATCAGCATCATCATCATCAGCATCACCATCATCATCATCATCATCAGCAGCATCATGATCACCATCATCATCCTAATCATCACCAGCATCATCCTGTTTCCAATGGCTCTCTCATCGCTCCCTCGAACGGGGCTCGGCGGGGCTGGCGGTACATAGAATCTAAGATCACACGTGATGAAGCCTGGGCCCACATGCGCCCCCCTCCTCGGGGCGATCCAGTGGCCACGGGCTCGAAGACGCGGTGGCCTCGCGGCCACGGCATCTGGCCTGCCAACATCCGTCTGCGTTGCCGGACAAACGCTGTCAAGCAAGGGGCTCCCTGGGCACGAGCTGGGCCCGTAGTGTAGGCCCCACACCTCACGCATAAGACAACAGGGGGCACTGGCTCAGTGACTCTACACACACATCAAGCTTAGGGGAAACCTCAATGTCCCTGACCTTTACCAGGGACGGTGTTGAGGCCGCACAAACACACCTCGCACATTTGCTTCTGAAAACTCCTCGCGCACCGAATGCACCGCCACATGGAGCCGCTCCACAGACTGCAATGAGAGCGCTTACTGCAGGCCACCTTCGGGTCAAGAGCCTCAGAGACATTCCGATCAAGCTTCCCAAAGGGCTCTTGGGCCCTGGGAAGTTCCTCAAACATCCTAGCAACTAACTCCGTACACCCATCCAGCATCACCTCATGTCGGACAACGATACCAAAAACGCTGATCCTCATCACCTCATGTCGGAAAATGTTCACAAGATCGAGACCGGCCTGCACCCATCTAGCATCAGCTCATGATCATGATCATGATCATGATCCTGATCCTGATCATGATCATGATCATGATCATGATCATCATCATCATCATCATCATCATCATCATCATCAGCATCATCATCATCATCATCATCATCATCGTCATCGTCATCGTCATCGTCATCGTCATCGTCATCATCATCATCATCATCATAATCATCAGCATTAGACTCATCATCATCACCACCATCAGCATTATCATCATGATCATCATAATCATCATAATCATCATCCTAATCAGCATCATCATCACAATCGTCACCATTGTCACAATTATCACCACCACTATCGCCATCATCATCATCACCATCATCACCATCATCCTCATCATCATCATCAGCATCAGCATTATGACCATCATCATCACTACCATCTCCATCATCATCACAGCCAGCATCATAATCATCATCACCATCACCATCATCATCATCATCATCATCATCATGATTATCATTATCAGCGACATCATCACCATCGCCGTCGTCGTCATCATCGCAACTATCATCATCATCATCACCATAACCATCACCATCATCATCCTCACCATCGTCACAACCATCATCACCATCATCGTCATCATCATCATCACCGTCACCATCACCATCATCACCATCATCACTATCATCATTATCATCATCGTCGTCATCATCGTCATCATCGTCATCACCATGAGCATCAGCAGCATCATCTCCGCCACCACCATCACCACCGTAATCATCATCACAGCATTCTCATCCTCATCGTCAGTATCATCTTCATCCTCCTTCTCCTCCTCTTCCGCATCATCATTACCGCCACCATCATCGTGATAAGCTGCCTTTTATGATCAAAATCATTCATGCTCATCCTAATCATCACCCGCATCCTCATCCTCATCCACATCCTCGTCCACATTCTCATCCTCATCGTCGTCCTCATCGTCAGTGTCATCACCAACATCAAAACCCTCCCCTCATCTCAATCATCATGCTCTTGCTCCCTCTACTGCTTCTTCTCCTGAACCTGCCCCCCCAGGGCGCTTCGGCGAGGCGCTCTGCGTCGAGCTGCGAGAGGCCCATTCGCTGGCCCAGGTAGTGGCGCAGCTTCGGCTCGCCCTTGGGCTCCACTGTGACCTCCCAGAGGGCGGTGGAGGTCTCTCTCTATCTTTCTCTCGCGTTTGGGCTCGGCGGGGGGGACGGCGGGTGGAAGAGCAGTTTTCACCGAATGGCAAGAATCGACCACAACGATGTTTAAAACGAAATGGCACTTGAAAGGAAACACGAACCGACACGCAACGTTTCAAACGAATGCTTAAAACGAAGCCGGCGCCCAACGAAAACGAAAAACGAAACGAGGCCGCCAATCAGCGAGAAAACACACACATGCGGGTGCGCTCAATGTGACATTGAGCGCACACGCATGCTTCCCGGCAGGGACAAGGGCTTGTGGCGATGATGAGCGTCAGCAAGAGCAGGACGAGGAACATAAGGATCGGCGTCACTGGCAGCAGCATCACAAATGACAGCTCGAACATCACAAACAGCATTGGCGGCGAGCCTGGGGGGAAATGAGAAGGGGCGGGCCTTCTAAAAAGGCTTGGAAGTCCCCCAGATTTCTCAAAGTTTTCTAATCCTTCCCCCAAGACACTGAAAACCTCTCAGAAGGCGCGAGGCCTTTTGAGAAGTCCCGCCGCCTTCTGAGAAGGCCTTCTCCTTCTCACTTCCCCCCCTTTTCTCGCCACCGACAGCTGCAACGAGATCAGGACGCGCCCACGGGAGCGGCGGGAGCGTGGCCGGCGCAGCAGGAAGACTGGGAGGCGCATCGCGGTCCAACGTTGCTTCTGGAGCCGCCCCCAGACGCCTCGAAACCTGCAAACACGGCTTCAAGTCGGACCCGGCGACCCCCAGACGACCTCAAGACGACGGCCCCAGACCGCCTCAGAGGCGCCCCAAGGGCCGCACAGGAGGCCCAACAATTTGTCTGCAAGGCTCGGCCCGAAGAGGCCAGCATCACCGATGTCCATTCAGTTGTTGCAGGATCTGAGCGCTCTCGTCTTCTGTGGGTATCGACGGCCCCAGATTCTGCTCCAGTGGGCCTCCCAGGCGCCCACGACAGTGGCGACAGCCGCGCAGTTGGTGGCACTGCAAGGGAGCGCGAGGTATCGGCTGGGACAACGTGCGGATCCTTCGGTGGCAACTCGAGGGGGCCTCCCATACCATCTTGTCGGGTCTTGCGAATCAACGCTCATCGACGCTATCTCACCGACTCCCAGACGCTCATCGACGCTGAAGACGGAATTGAAAGGGTATACCAGGCTCCCATGATTTGCTACCGAAGGCGCCCACGAGAGTGGCGACAGCTGCGCAGTTGGTAGCACCGCAAGGGAGCGCGAAACATCGGCCTGGTCAACGTGCAGATCACACTGCGCCGGGCCTCTCCCCGGGGAGCCCACGGCAGCTGCGACAGCTGCGCGGTTTGAGGTCGG